ATATATGCATACATACATATATGTAAAATACAGTGTATATATGCAAACATACATATATGCCCATATACAGTATATATGCATACATACATATATGTAAATATACAGCATATAAGCATACATACATATATGTAAAATACAGTGTATATATGCAAACATACATATATGTAAATATACAGTACATATGCATACATACATATATGTAAATATACAGTATATATGCATACATACATATATGTACAATTACATATATTAGATACACCGTAAATATATCTGCACACATATAGATAACCATACATATATGTACATATACAGTATATATGTACGCATACATGTACATATACAGAATATACGCATACATACATATATGTACATATACAGTATATATGCATACATACATGTACATATACAGTATACGTATATGGATACATACATATATGTACAATTACATATATTAGATATAAATATATCCGCACACATATAGATAACCATACATATATCCGTAAATATATCTGCACACATATAGATAACCATACATATATGTACATATACATACATCAGATATAAATATATATGCTTACACATAACCATACATATTTATGTATATAATCATATTTAAATATATGGACACATTTATAACTACACATGTAATTAGTGGTGCATATGTGTTAGGTAGTAACGTCATCACTGGTCTGTCATTCAGAGGTGTTTGATGTGTGATTGTATTCACTCAGGTAATCAGACGTCATGCAGCTATAATGACTACTCTGTAGGGGGCAGCCAACACACTTTCTATTTACAACCTCTGTAATTATTCTATTCACTCTGACAAAGTCAACCCCAGGGTTGATGGGAGTTTTACTGATTCAGTCACTGTCATCACTTCAGTCTAAATATCCACGTGTGTGTCTGTGTGTGTGTGTGTGTTATCATTTCTGTTGTTGTTTAGGAAAATCACTAACACAGTTGTATGTTTTTTTTTTCTTTTACTCTTTACTAAAAACACGTCTTTTCTCCCACAGTCCATAAACAGTCAGAGTGACGACTGGCCTTATTCACAGTCACCAAACTCACATTCGTTCATTCATACTTCTTTTTCTTCCAGGCAGCAGGACATGGTTTTGATTGGCTCTCGTCCTCATTTGTTTGTCCACATAACAAAATCAATGACTGGACTTTGACCGTGCCTGATTTTTGTTAGTCGACTGATAAATCAATACATTTCCTCATTGGGCAATACTTAACGTCGGAGAAAAACGGTTGTTGACTGAGACTTTGTGTAAAATAAATTGAACACCAGTGATAACAACAATCACTGGTCTCTAATCCCAAACAGCTAATGATTAGAATGGTCGTAGTGACGTGGAGCAGTGTTGATGCCACATGGCCCTGCTGACGCAACGCTCTTCTTTAGGACCTAAATGTGTTACGTATCCCTGAGGGGAACGTGAACATTTTCCTGTGCTGTCAAGTTAAACAATCAATGAAGGTAATCATGACAGCAAAGGTAAACCAGCACCTTAGGTGAAGACTATTTCATTATCTCATATTGTTTTTCCTTTTGAATTATGTGTCATCTCACTAGAATGTTGCATAAGGGCAAAAAGACGGCAGAAATTCCTACATTATTGAAGAGGGTCTTGGGTGTTTCATTATGTGCACTTTAGGCAGGAAGACAATTCTCTCTCTCTCTCTCTCTCTCTCTCTCTCTCTGCTAATTGCACTTTTAGATAAATGTCCAGCAGACCTGTGCTGTCACACTGAGGCGGCTCTGCTCTGTAGAAATAATGGTCTCGTTGTCAGAAGAAAGTCAAATGACAGAGATCACAACAGCACACACGGCAACTATGCACTACCATACAACACACATACACACACACACACACACACGTATTAAACACCCAGAGGCACAGAGGTGAAAAAATGCTGGGTTGAGGCAGAAACCATTTTCCCCGGGGTCTTCATTAACTCATTGAAGCCATTTATTCCACTGAGGTTATCTCTCTTGCTCTGGACTTAATTTAGCACCAGTGTGACATGTTCCTCTCTGCAGCTACGCAAGAACCTTCAGAGCCTCACAGGGTCTGAACACACTCAGTAATAATATGCATGTACTATACCTGTGGCCGTGTCAGTGCACAGAGACGCCGCGGTCCTGTACACTCTGACGACGCAGCGACGC